CCGCGAAGCTCTAGCTCAATCAGGGGCCAAACGGCAAGGGGGGTCAAACCGACCCCCCCCCCCTACACATTAGAAGCTGGCAAACGCCGCACACATGCGAGGGTGAAAGCCAGTGCGTTCAAGGTGCGAAGTTAAAGCCAAACGAGAAGGTAAAGCATAGAACTATGCAAGAACAATGACATATTTGGATGTAAGCGAGATTAGGTTGGCAAGACTGCAATAGCTTGCGAGATGAGGCCTAAGAATGATTGCAAGATGTGAAAAGCTCTTGTATTTCCAAGGAAACGACGGCTTTAGTGGACTTGCGTGACAGATTGACTGCATCTGCACCAATTGAAAACGTCTGAAGGCGAGTTCATACGCGCTTCATGGCTGACGTCTCGTCTCGTCCTGGCCTGACGTGAGAGACGATCGCATTCAACGCATCACAGCAGATCAATCGGTCCACTGTGCTGCATTTGATTGGTTAATCGGACGCAACTCGCGGAAGTCACAAAATGGACAACCTTGACAGACTTACCGTGAGTGAGTTGAAAGAGCGACTGAGGGAGAGACACGCAAATATTAAGGGCACGAAGGCCGTTCTAGTTCGACGTTTGCAAGAGCTTATGAGATATGAAAAGGACGATGGTTCTAGCAGGAACCGAAAAGACGCCGATTACAACAACGGACAAGATAACGACTCCATAACTGAGGCGGCGTTGAATGACCAATCCGTGTGTGGCGAGTCAGTTGTCTCTTGTCACACATCCGCCTCTGCCGCCTCAGTGCGCTCACTGCGAGCTATTGAAGCGACAAAAAGAGCTGCATTGCTGGCACGAGCCTCGTTTCTGCAGGAGAAACGTAAAATCGAATTGGAGGAGCTGAATCTTCGGCTTCGTAGAGAGGAACTAATGATAAGAACCGAGCTTGCAGAATCGGAGGCAAGAGAGAAGATCCTGGCGGAAGCTGATCAGCCAGAGGGCATGGCGGCCACGGCACGACCAGTCACATCCTTCTCCGACCGACAAAACCAGCCGTCCTCTCAGTCTCTGACTTCCGGGAATGCTGAGCCAGAAACAGGGCTCAGGAACCCTACTCAAGAGCGTCGCTGTTCTGATGGACCGTCTGGGAGATCGCGGGAGCCCACCACGCACGAGGCTAGGAGCATAGACGACTCGGAGGCAGCAGGAGCAGCGACAGAGCAGAGGGGTCATACAGAGCCTCAGCAGTCACAGCAGGCAGACTACTCAAGGGTGCTGCTCACTCAGCTTCAGAAGGGCCAGTTGCCTAAGCTGGAGATACCGGTCTTCGACGGCCTTGGCTGGCCTCGACCCCTGGCCCCTTCCTGGGCTCTTCTGAAAGACGCCCTAGAAAGAACAGAGGGAGACAAAAAAACAAAAAAATTGCTGCGCGCACTCCGTCGCTCGGCGTCCTAACGGAAAAGGCCGCTTGGGCTGCGTTGCCTCGAGTCCAAACATAAGTCGTATGTCGGACATACTTACGTGCAGTTGTGGTAGCCGTTGTGGTTCCAGTGCCTGCGCCCACGCTGTGAGTTGCTAAAATACATGCATGGTACAAAATAGAAATCAACGCTTTTACAATATGTCACCCACGATCTTAGTAGCGACGTAATGACATGGTAGGTGACAGTGAGTGGTATGCTGGGGCAGGCCAGCAGACATGTCATTAGTAGCGACGTAATGACATGGTAGTTGACAGTGAGTTGTAAGCTGGGGCAGGCCAGCGGACAAACTTGACCGTCCTCCGCACCGGGGGGCGGCCGGGTGACTCATCCGGCGTGGCGTCAGCTCAAGGCCGCGACGGGCCTGTGGCCGGCGGTCGGACGGCCGTTGATCCGGGGTGTCGTCTTGCACCGGTCTGCAGCGGGCAGACTGGGTGTCAGGTCACTGCTGGCATTGGGCCACTCTGTGGAAGCACGAAAGCCGGCTGCTATGCTGCATTGATGATCTAGTGGTGACGTAGCATGACAGCCCAGGTAAATAGGCAGGCCAGTCAGGCATGGCCATGGGTGGAGAAAAGGGGGTTTGAGGGTGCACGAGCACCCCCTCATACCGCAAAGCACCCCCACAAACAATGCAAAACCAGCATAGCAGCTTGTTAACCAAAGTATCAAACAGAAAAGCACCCCCTGGGATTTAGGCAAATCTCCACCCCTGGGTATGGCCGGCTTTGTCGGGCATGCCCTCGGGATGGCGTGCCAGCGTGCGGTTAGGGCATTGTTTAGTGCGAACCTATGACACTGGTGCATGTAACCGAGCAAGATTGTGAAGGTGGCGCTGGCATGGCATGACATGCCAGTGGGCAGGGCATAGTTCAGGGCCAAGCTACAAGCTGGTGTATGTGACCGCCCGGAGGGCCAACTGAGTATCTGAGACGGGCGGCCACATTAGTATGGGGCGAAGGGTAGTAACAGAACAAAAGTGCCAACTGCCAGTATTCAAGCAACTTGGCAGACTAATTGGCTGACGAAAATTAGACCGCCGGTTAGAGGGGCGCGCCATGATTGCCTAGTGCGAAGGGCCCGCGCGTAACTAACAGGTCGGATAGCTGGTAACTCCCCAGCTAACAGGAAACGTTACTACGACGTTGTCACAACGTCGTGTTTCGGTAAGTTGCGAAATTACGTTTTAATTACGTTATAGCAACGTTCTGAACGTTGTGAAGCCATGGTTTGGTCCGAAAGTCGTGGTAAAACGTCGTGACAACGTTTTATTGGTACGTTGCAGCAACCGCGCACTTGCAGCATTCTATTTTGATAATGCATGGTGACATATATGGCCATATAATGCATTTCCTTTGACTTTCAATGCGCATATTCAGTTTTCATCGTTAAATTTGACATATTTTAACACTTGGACTGTTCACGTTGTCAGCTGGTGGTCGCCAACACGTTGTTTAAACGGTTTTTCACAACCTTGACATTATAGGTACTGAATAATTAGCGGTGTTTTTACAAGTAAATTCTGATACCTTTCTCTCTCTATCTCTCTCTAATATGTATATATATATATATATATATATATATATATATATATATATATATATATATATATATATATATATATATATATATATATATGTTGCGGGCCAAGTGCGAAGGCTAGTCCATTCGCGAATGCACTTGGACTAGGCCGTTTGCGAATGGACTAGTCCATGTGCGTTATTGCAGTTGGCCTAGGCCGTTTGCGAATGGACGGGCGTTTATGCTCCCAGTCCAAGTGCGAAGTCAGGCCAAGTGCGAAATATCGAACCCGCCGTTTTCTCGTGATCTGTGAAAAACCACAGGGGGGTTGAAAGCAACCCCCCCCCCTGCAGTGCGCGTATTGTTAAATGCAATGCAACACAACAGTTTTTCGACACTCACCGCACCGCACTCACCACACACAAGCCGCACCGTCCCGGTACACCACACCAGAGCAGAATGAATCGAGCGCCAAAAACTCGACCAAGGTCAGGTCGGGTCATCAGCGGGGAGCCCGGAGCACGGTACTAATGGTCTCCGCACACCACGCGACTCTCCGCTATTCGAAGGTCACGAGGATATTTGACCTCCCCAGATCCAGATCGGTGGCCGAAGCCTGGCCAGCGGCAACACGTTGCTATAATTTCCGCGTTGTGCAGGGTTCAGCGGAAAGTCGCATCCCGAATGGACCAGGTGTGTGGAGACCTTAACCCAGAGTTGCGCCCGCTCGCAGATCTGCTCCGGAGAACAAACTAAACATATAGACGCAGTGGCGTCGCCACGGATTTTCGACTAGGGGATCTGGTCGGACGGTCAGTCAAAGTAATCCCCACCAAATACTGAAAACTCCTCGGATTTAGACAATTTTATTTTGAGAATGCACCAAAATCGTTTTTAAAATATTTTATTTTATTCTTGATAGATTTTCGTGGCCAAAAGTATGTGTGTGGGGGGAGGGGGGGGGGGCGTCGGACCGGCATATTTTCAAGAATGTGTGTGTGTGTGGGGGGGGGGGTCCGGACCCCTCCGACCCCCCCCCCCTCCGTCGGCGACGCCCCTGCATCGACCAGCGGTCCCCCATTCATTCTGAATCGTACCCCAATCCGAGGATCCATGCTTCCGGCGGCTAAGTGCAACGCCACAAACCCGTCCGTTCGCAAACGGCCTAGGCCATTCGCGAATGGCCGGCCATTCGCAAACGGACTAGTCCGTTTGCAAACGGACCGCCATTCGCAAACGGCCTAGTCCATTCGCGAATGGACTAGTCCGTTCGCAAACGGACTAGCCTTCGCACTTGGCCCGTAACATATATATATATATATATATATATATATATATATATATATGTTACGGGCAAAGTGCGAAGTTGGGCAATTCGCGAATTGCCTAGGCCATTCGCGAACTGCCGGCAATTCGCGAATGGCCTAGGCAAAGTCCGGTTTTTCACTTGGCCTAGGCAATTCGCGAATGGACTGACTTTGTGCTCACAGGCAAAGTGCGTAATTGGGCATTTCGCGAATTGCCCAGGCAAAGTGAGTAACTATATCACAAAAGTTTTCTACCGTGCTAAAATGAGTATATTCATTAACATTAGGACATTTGCTTATGGCTAAGTCTATCTGAGGCGGCCAGAAACTTGCTGTTCTGTAATTTAAGGGAATTTTCAAATAAATCTGATAGTACTAAGGTTCTCCTTCCGAACTCGTTGCCATTTATAGTGGGAGGGGGCTGGTGTGTAGTACTTACCATCGTCCCTCTTGTATCCTAATTTAAATGGGTGTGCAGACGTGCGAAAATGATTGTCCTTTGTGGGGCGCGCGGGGTGGCAAATAAATGCGATCGAAGATACATTTTTATGACTCATTTGAATTTTATTGGATCAAAAGTTTAATCATATGAGGTATCTGTATAACGCGAAAGTGTTTAGGTTAAGAGAGGTTGTGTACGCAGTTATCAAGTTCCGTAGCACGTGGTCTTTAAACTATTCGATAATTTCCGTCAAAAACAAAACCATGCCAAATCACAAACAACAGTCTGACTTTCTTACTATTTATTATTGCAGTGAGCGCCTTTATGGCAGCGACTGATACAAGTAACGCCCGCCTTGATGCACTTGCATCGGCCTTTACATACACCCCTCCTGCACTTGCAGGAAAACATCCCCTGACCCTTCCCCCCTGAGACCAGGCGAGCACATTCTCTAAGTGTGATCGAGATGTCGGGGACGTCGGAGGAGGAGATGAAGTGCCCGGCACACGGTTGTACTGCTTCTGGGCCGTAGACGCCGGACAGCTTCCCCTTCGTCGTGCCAATTATATACTGTGACTCGCCGACACACTGCGAACACGGTCATCTATGTCAACGAGCGATACAAAGTTTTTACAGCATCAGCAATTAATTTACTGCAGATAATATTGATATGATTTATAATTATTGCGACCAGTGCCAGACACCTACAGTTTCGATCTGTGTTAAAAACGTTTTGTTGTTGACATCAAATCTAATTGAACCGACAATGTCCTTTCAGCGCCTTATACACTTGAAATCATGATGAAAAATAACTAAGCAACTATTTTTACAGATATTAAATCGTTTCAACATTGAGAACAATATTCATATTGATTGAAAATCATATTATATACTTAATTCACAGTAAAAAGTTATCGAAATAAAAAATTGAAAATATAGCAATAGAAAGCGTGGCGAGAAAGAGCAACCAATAGTACAAGCAGCTGCAAAAAGAAAATTACTCCAGACTCACCTCCAATATCACTCCGATAACATTTTTCTGTTGCGTCCTCGCCCTGTCCACGTCGGGAATGCCAATGCGTACATTTTGACCCACAGATAGAATCTTCTTCGCCTTCCTCGTCCGAGCCAGCATGAGATTCGCCTGTTTTTTCTGAGATGCCGAGGCGATCTCCCGCTCTTCAAGTGCCCTCTTAGCACGAGAACACAGATCGCAAAAGCCGTCAGATGCAGGTGCCGGCCCATAACAGTGAGTGCAGCGCCTGCTTCTTAGTGTTCGCTTAACAGGCTGTGCAGCTACCGGTGACTGCTGCATGCCCTTGTTGCTGCCGGCTACCGCCACTGTGGGACCGCTCCTCCCTGGAGTGCAGCTAGCTGGCTCCTCGTCGCTGCTGTTGCTGCCGGCTACCGCCACTGTGGGACCGCTCCTCCCTGGAGTGCAGCTAGCTGGCTCCTCGTCGCTGCTGCTGCTGCCGGCTACCGCCACTGTGGGACCGCTCCTCCCTGGAGTGCAGCTAGCTGGCTCCTCGTCGCTGCTGCTGCTGCCGGCTACCGCCACTGTGGGACCGCTCCTCCCTGGAGTGCAGCTAGCTGGCTCCTCGTCGCTGCTGCTGCTGCCGGCTACCGCCACTGTGGGACCGCTCCTCCCTGGAGTGCAGCTAGCTGGCTCCTCGTCGCTGCTGCTGCTGCCGGCTACCGCCACTGTGGGACCGCTCCTCCCTGGAGTGCAGCTAGCTGGCTCCTCGTCGCTGCTGCTGCTGCCGGCTACCGCCACTGTGGGACCGCTCCTCCCTGGAGTGCAGCTAGCTGGCTCCTCGTCGCTGCTGCTGCTGCCGGCTACCGCCACTGTGGGACCGCTCCTCCCTGGAGTGCAGCTAGCTGGCTCCTCGTCGCTGCTGCTGCTGCCGGCTACCGCCACTGTGGGACCGCTCCTCCCTGGAGTGCAGCTAGCTGGCTCCTCGTCGCTGCTGCTGCTGCCGGCTACCGCCACTGTGGGACCGCTCCTCCCTGGAGTGCAGCTAGCTGGCTCCTCGTCGCTGCTGCTGCTGCTGCTGCTGCTGCTGCTGCATACTACAGCACGACCGCTCCTTCTCCTCCCTGCATGGGCGCGGCCAGCCGGCTGCCAGTCGCTGCTGCTGCTGCTGCCCGATTGACTGTCCAGTCCTGCATCTGTGGCCGTCTGGCGACTTCCATCAGCCACCAGTCCCAGCATATCCGCCAGCTCCTGCTCAGTCCTCAACAGTCTGGCGGGCGCTCCTCTGAGCTGCGTGTCCCTCAGGCCCATGTGGGGCTCAACACCGAACATCGCTTTGTAGGGAGCAGTTCCAATCCCGTCGTTCTTCTGAAACAGTCAGAACATATTCAAGATATTAACAACAGAATGTTCACACAAAAAATACGAGACTGTGCAGTTAAGCGTAACCAGCTAATACTTTACACTTCTCCCGCTTTGACTTAAATTACAGCTAATGATTGGAAATATTTTTTTTCTTCAAAACATATGTTTTAAACGAATGAGGAAAATTTCAAATGATATTTTTTGTAACTAATACAGATGAAGGCTATATACCTGCGTGTTTATCATCCACTGAACAAAGCGTAGTCCCTCGGGCCAATTACTTTCCGGGTTATCGGCAAGCCAGCACCGAAGCTTTTCCTGAACCAGCCGATTCGCCCTTTCGACAGATCCCTGGAAACATTAAATGTGTCAATTTACCACATGCCGAGATATCCCTTTAACATTAGCACGTGATTTTGGGAAAAGCTTCCGGACCGCTCACGGCTAATGTTTAAGGTATTTGGGAAAAGGTTCTTGACCACGGTCATTTTGATTTTCCCAGACAATTTTTAAGAGAATATTCAAGATGAAAGTAGCAATTAACGGCATGTAGTAACTATCTTCCCACCCTTTGGGCTGGGAAAATGCTTAATTTATTCACCTCGAATTTTTTGCTACAGACCTCGTGCCTGCCGGCACTCGGTACTTCCGCAAAAAAACCTTGGTAAATAAAATGCATTTTCCCAGCCCCGGGCGGAAATAAATATTACTATATCCGTACATGAGAAAGTCAAGCATGCACATGGCGGCGAATATTACATGGTACAGTTTGCATTGACCTCTTTTAACTCTCGATTTATTTATTCATGTTCTTTCCACTTCTATTTATTTGCGCAGGCATTGATATTGAATAGTCACTTTTTGAGCAATCAAATAAGGGCGCTTGATAGCCTATTTGCGCTTTAGCGTCCGTCCATAAACCCCAGCACAAACATGCACACGATCAATTCAATATGAATATCTATTTTAAAGACTTCAAAAATCCATGTAGGAACAACAAGCTAATTCTATACCAAATCTAAATTCGTATATTGGTGAATAGCCAATCTGGCTTATACCTATCAATCGCTCACCTGGGACTGCGAATGGCGAGGTCGTCCACGAACGAGCTGGAGCGATGGCCACATGGCTGTGCACTGCTTTATTACTTTGTTGCGAAACTCGCGTCCGTTGTCGCTCTGAAACACATTTAGGTTTTCTGTTTTAACGAATTTTTAACGCAATCTTAGCCTTTATCTGAACTACTTTCATGTTTTTATTGCGATGTTTCACACAGTGGTTGTGCAGTTACCTTCATGAATCACGAGCGAATCATTGTAAAAGTGACTTAGAACAGTTCAAATTACCCTAATCTTGACCTTAGGTGAAAAGGTCATCAAAGGTAATCCTAGGTCAGTGACCTCAGATGACCTCGGATGACCACGGATGACCTTGACACATGGCGGGTCAACTATAGTGTATTCATAGGCGCTGAGCTCGAATCTGACATCCATTCACCTCTAAGCAATCATCCTGACGCTCAAACTCGCAAAAAAAAAACAGCTAATTGAAGCGACTAAATTGACCTAGAAGATGCTCCTAACAAGCGTGACCTTGCGTGACCTTGACCTTGAGTCAACTGTATGCGATGTCTAGACATCCATAAACACCAATAAACTCTCATAGAATGCATACTCATGCGCTGGGAAGCAAGAACGCGCACCATCGTGCGACAGATCGCAAAACCTGCCGATTTCGTCCAAACATGACCTGACATATGACGTCATTACTTGATGACCTGACATGACATCGACTTGAAATTTCCACAGTACGTGTCAGATTGATCAACGCGAGGGTACTGTAAGTTTCGCGGCGATCCGCCGCGTTTTACGCGAGTTATTCGCGAAAAACCATGGGGGGGGGGGGGTCATCCGACCCCCCTACAAGTGCGAGGGTTAATCTGAAACTATGTATGTCTCTGGTTTTCTTCTAATCAAGTCAGTTATATCAACTCCAGCATCTGCTATAATGCGCAAAAGAACGACCAGTGCATGTTCGCTCATATCCAAGTAATTTTCTAAAGACTGAAGCGGCCAACCCCACCCTAATATCTTGGAGAGCCGTACATATTTTACGAATAAGCGCATGCTGGCTGCTGCTGCTGATGAGATGGAATATATTAAAACAACCGGTAATACATGATAGTATAGTACAGATGCAGACCATAGACAAAATGTAGGGTCTTAATGATGAAATTCCCTTAACATTCAATGAGGGTGAGATAAACTGTTTTTGCACTTAAAAACAGAGAAAAAATAAAAACAGAGAACGTTCATGATTGCTTTCACCTATATATCGGTAAAAAAATACAATATGACAAAGCTACTTTACCTGCAAGATGTTTGGAGCCCCAAACAGGCAGAATATGTCGATGAGATGAAATACCACCTCTTCCGCCCTTTTTGATTTTAAGGGCCGCAAAACGACAAACTTGGTTAGGTGGTCTTGATATGTTAAAATGTATCTGGATCCCTTTGAGCTTTCACTCGTCCAGTCTATTAGATCAACCTGGGCTCTGGAGTTCATGTCGTTGCTGAGAATAGGCTTAGTCACTACCTTCTGGCCAGGCCTAGGCTTTTTCTGCTCGCACGTTTGGCAAGTTGAGAGGAATGCCCAGACGACTTTTCTGCTGACGCTTGCATAGTGCTTTTGAACTTCCATAAGCGTCTTGTCTCTTCCGCAATGCCCAGCCAAAGAATGGAGTTCATTAATCACATCAAACAAATCTGATTCCCGCACGATTTCTTTTGCACTTTTCTTATCTACAACCTTTTCAATTGATCCGAACTTGACTAGCCTGTACTTCTGCCAGATGCGATAGCGTTTCGCGGTGCCCGACGGTTTTGCGCCTTTGCTGATTCCCTGCAGTTCTTCCTTTATAATCTCGTACTTTTCATCGGTAATCAAAGCAGAGTTTGAAGATATTTTGGTTTCGTGAACCAGTTTATAGAACTGTTCTTTTTGAGACATCTTTGCAGAAACGACGAACGGTCTACCTGCGAAAGATAGAGATGTATGCAAGATTACAATAACAAATTGACTTTATGAATTTAAAAAATATTGATAAATATTATATAATATACAAAGAATGATAATTACGAGCGAGCGCGAAGTGCGAGCGAGTCCTTTGTGGTTTAGTGGAAAAATGTAAGTATTAGCAGCCCGACCCGGCCAAACGACGCTAATTGACAGCTTATAACTTTGCAACCACATGTCTGATTGACAAGTGGCTTTCATTGATGGGGAGCTACATCCCTTTGCCACGAATGGAGCATACCCCGAACCATGTGGGTACCAAATTTAGCACGTGGCACGTGCAGAGTGAGGGGTGTCGAAAAAAATACAATGCTACAGCCTTGGAACGTCTGCGCCGATAGTGTTGAAATTTGGCATGCTACTAGGTACTCATAGGCCTAACCCTCCACAAGAGTGAGAAGGGAGATTGTGCCGCGCGCGCGCACATGCGCACTCCACCTTCGATTTTCAATAACTGCAGCGTCTGTCATGGGCGTAGAAACGGCTAGAACATTGTGGGCGCATAGGTGCAGATTGCAGGAGTCTAGCCATAGCTGGTTGAGCGGGGGGGGGGGTAGGAAGCGGCAATTGGATGTGATATACCGACTTTACCATTTTTAACCCGCACCCTATTTTCCCCTGAATATCAATAAGAAACAAACAAACAAACGAAAACGGTGAGCTTCACGCCGCTTTTTTTTACAAAAAAAGCGGCAAAAATCGGTGACCAGATGACCTAAGGACAGGTCAATT